GACCGGAGGCTCGTGACGGGGCGAGCCCGCAGCGCCCCCGCCCCCGTCCGTGGGCGCCCTCGGCCTGCGCCCCCGTTCTCGGTGCCTGGGTAAGAGACCTCTAAGAAGGGGGCTGTGGCGAGGACCGCGGGTCCCCAGGCTCGCTCAGCTGGACGCGAGGTGGGGTGGGGAGGGAGAACATTCCCGAAGCCCAGTACCCGTTGCCCCCCCCCTGTTTCCTGCCGTCACCCCCCCTCAGTTCCCAGCTGCCCCCCGAGGCCGTCGCCTCTGCAGCGCCCAGACCCAGCAGCGCCGGCGCCCGCGGCTCCCGGTCCCCTCCCCGCCCAGCCGCGCGCACACCTACCCATGGTGGCGGCTCCTGGGCTCCCAGCGACTGCCGCGCCGGAGTGCAGGCGGGAGGGCTTTTCTTTAAGGTGTTGCTCCTGACTTGGTTTCCAGGCCCTGCCCAGCCACCTGTGCAACCGGGCTGTGCAGGCGGGGCGGCGGCTCCACCCTCGGAGGCGGTGGAACAGCCGGGAGCAGAGGTTAGCGCTCCTTGAGCCCAGCGAGGGGACACCTGTCGCGGCCAGCACCCGGACTCCGCTGCTCCGCCCCAGGCCCGTGGGGGCGGGCGAGAGGCAGGGCCTCTGCTGACCGCAGCATCTCGGAGACCCAGGCCAGGGAGGCCCCGAAGACGCCAGCGCGACTCTGAGCCACCTGGAGGGCTGGTTCCCAGGCAGGTTCCTCCCCAGATTCTCTTCCCATTCGCAGGCTCAGGGGGTCGGAGTAGACCCCGATAACGTGCATTTCTGACAAGTTTTGAGGGGTGTTGATGCTGTGGGTCGGGACCCCACTTGGAGAGCACTACTGGGGAAATGCACATTCAGGGGCAGGCAAAGAGGGCGCACCGGTCACTGTCCGTGCACGGCACAGGCCTTGCCTGGGCTGAGGGACGCCCGGCTGGAGAAGCCTACCTTTCCTTTCTCTCTCTACGGATGACGAAACAAAAATAACACCGAGATCATCTCCAGAGCACTTCTCTATTTCAGTATCCGACTAGGGCGTTGTGCTCTGAAAACTCACTCAAAAGGGAAATGATGGCTGGTTTCAAGTCTTTAAAAAAAACGAGGTAACACGGGGATTATAACTGAGATGGAAAAGGCACAAAATGATGGAAGAATGAACTATTATATTATTTAAAAAAATAAGATGGTTGTGACATTAAACACACACACAACCATCCTCACCCATGAGTGGACATTAACCGGAATCAAGTGCATTCACTGGTTCATCACCGGGACTTTTCTGTCTTCATAAACGGAGGCTCCATACCTGCGGAAGCCGCTCTCCTGCCGGCCGCCCAGGTCCCCCTCTGGCTGTGGACAGGCCATCTTGGGTTGGGGCTTCATCCTGCAGTGTTGCTCCCTTCTGTCTTCTTTAACTGAGCACCACGGCTTCAAGTTCCATCTGGATCACAGCTAGGTCAGAATTTCCTTCTCATTTAAAGGCGACGTCTAGGCCACTGTGAGGACATACAGCGTTTAGTCTGTCCATCACCTGTCTCCAGTCTCTTCTGAGTTTCAGCTGTTGAAGACTGTGGTGCACAGAGAGACACAGAGGCAGTTTTCCCCAAGGTGGCTGGACCTGTCTTTCAGGCTTTCTACGTGGTGCCTAAGAAGGAGACAGAAACCTCCTCAAGTAGTGTCTACACTGAGACACAGGCTGGCAGTGGACGTCTCTAACGGCCTGCGGGCTGCAAGTAGAAAATGCATCAGTAATGGACAGATGGAAAGAAAACGTGCTCTGGACTGGTGGGAAGCAAGTTCAGCTTGCTCCCTGTTGCTAACCCAGGGCGCCCTGACCTCTATGTTCGCCCAAACTAACATAGGACACTCAGAGCCACAAGAGAATGAAGCGGGATCCTGGGGTCTGGAGTCCAGAGTCTGTTTTTAGGACCGCCCATGGGCATATATAAGGTTTTACGTGCAGGGAAAAACAGGAAATGTGCCTGACACAGGGGGTGCGGTGCTTCTTGCAGTTTCTGCTAAAGACAAGGTAGGGGGCTGCAGCTGTTTGCAGGACAGAGTGCACTGTGCTCTGCTGGCTTGTTTGCTGGCCTTACTGGGGAGCGTGCTCACCCATGCACAACATTAGCCAGGGCGGACAGGTGCCCTTGAGGTCCTGTCGAGTTATCCACAGCTCCCTTGTCCTCAGGTCTCCCTGGGTGTTCAGGGTGAAGCATGTGAGTTAATCTTGATCGAAGTCTTCTCTGCGGGGTGGTATTTCAGTTGGGGAGCTCCCAAAGCTGAGGTCCTGGGCCACTGTAAATGCATTCTTGTTCTAGGACAGCAGCACCAGCACTCCATGGGGACTGTGGCAGGTGCAAATTCTTGGGTCCCATCCCAAATCAGGGTGCAGCTGAGGTTTTGTAGTAGTGGGGAAAATGCTGTTACTTCCTTGCGTTCATTGACTCCACCCAGACATTCTTTATGGTCTCCAAGGGCAAACCAGTAGGCACTAGCAAGCAGAAACAACACAGAAGAAGCCCTACACTCACAGGCTTATGGGCTTTGCTATCTTTTAAGGAGGGCAGAAGAGGCAAGTTACTCCAGATGAGAAAACAAATGCAGAACAAAGGAAGCTTCTCTGAGCTCTGCTGACTCGGACAAGGCCAGTTGATCCCTAGAATCCACCAGGATTCCCAATCTGGTCTAGACTGAGGACCAGGCATGTCTCATTCAATGTCCTTGGTGTGTGGTGTATACAGGGGAGCTTCCCACTCTCTACTGTCTCAAGAGAAAGTCAAAACCATGCCAGCCTTGGCTTTGCACCCCTCTCTCCTCCTGAGGCTGCCATAACAAATTACCCCTAATTTCACAACTTAAAATTACAGAAATGTATAACTTTACCCTTCTGGGGATAAGTTTGGGGATCACCATGTGGGCAGACACTGTCCTTAGAAAGGAGCATCTTTCTCTACCTCATCCAGCTTCTGGAAGCTCCTCATACTTTGGCTTGCGGCCACATCATTCTCCTCTCTGTTCCTATCTTCCCATCACCTCCCCCTTGGTCTTCTCTCTTTTTCTTTTTTTATAACAGCTGTAGTCCTGGCACTCCACTTGCAACCCTAGTAAGTGGCAGCAGAGAAGGGGCTGAAATCCGGTCTGTCTGATGCCAGGCTCTACCCTTGACCTCATGCCGTGGGCCTTGACCACATGGTTTCACTGTCACTCATTTTAGAAGTGGAGTGGCTGATGGACAAGCACAAGTGGCATGTACAGGGAAACCTTATTCCAGTGTTTAAAAGGCTGAGACATCGTAGGGGCTCTTCTTGCTCTCTTCTACTTCTTTTACTTTCTAGGTATCTGCCAAGCCCAGAGAAAGACACAAATACACTGAGATCCACACATTGGACTCATGGAAGTCCTGTTAGAAATAGCTGCCATGTAGCCATCATGGAAAGTGATCTGGATTTACCTTAAGAAACTAAAAATGGAAATACTCTATGACCCAGCAGTCCCACTCCTGGGTATCTATTCAAAGAACATGAAACCATCAACTCAGAAAACTATTGCTCTAAATATTTATTGCAGCACTATTTATAAGAACTAGGACATGGAGACAACCTAAGTGCCAATGATGGAGGACTTGCCAAGAAGACGTGGTCTAATTGTCCACACCACGGACTAGTATACAACTATGAAGAGATATTGCCATTTACAACAAAATGGAAGGAGTTGGAGAGAATGATGTGTCATAAAGCAATTCAGAATCCTAGAGACAAATAGTGGACATTGACATAGAGGGCAATTTCACAATACTAACACTGGCTAATAAACAAAGTGAGATTTCTGAGTTCAGAGAAACGGGGAGGAAAAGGGATCAAGGTGGTTGAGGGGTGATGGTGGGGAAAAATAAAAATGAAAGTAAAAAAAAGCTGCCACTTATTGAGCACCTACTATGTGCCACACACAGTGAGCACAGTATTTTGACCCTCCCAGGGTCCCTGCAATTTACAGACATACACCACCTCCATTGACATGGTGGAGTATGGTGGCTTCCCCTCACTCAGGGGATCTGACACAAGCTATGCAACCTCTATCGACTGACATATTCTGGATAGAGATGGAAGTGCTCTGAAAAATCAGACTTTCCACGCTAACTTATGTTATGACCTCCCTTTTTTGTATAATCGTAATATCAAACTATTCTGAGTAACCTTCAGCTTACAATAGGATTGCCTCAGCCTCATGAGGCGCTACCTGGCCCTGACAAGCAAGCACTGCACCAGGGTGAGAAATTCCTCTTGAAGTCAAAAGTGATTCGACAACTGGCTGATTAATAAAAGCAAATGGCTGTTACTGTAAAGCCTCTCTCACAGCCAGACGGAGGAAAACCCAAACCTTATCACTCTACTATCTCAGACAGCCTTCTATTCAGTTTCTAAATAACCACTCAAGCTTTCTACTATCTAGTCTTTAGATATGGAAATTCACCCAAGTCACCTACTCAGAGCTAATCAGGTTTTTTACTGTCTAGACTTCAAGGAAACTCTCAAACTTTCTAACAAGTTTTTCAAACAATCTTACTTTAATTTGATTTACAAGAAATTTCCTCTTCCTGCCCTCACTTTACTTTACCCCCTAGGATGTCTCTATGAGCATGAAAGCCGTTAAGTAATAGATAATGTTTCAGGGACTTTATTTTGGTTAATCTTCACTGTGGTAAATATAGTACTATTAGTCTTAAACTTTGTGAATCTATGTACCTGTTTTAACCCTGATAGATTGATTTAAAAAATGTCATAATCTCAACTAAAGGTCAAAACGACCCCAGACTATTCTTAGAAAAAAGGTGATTGTGATCTCAGCCCCTTTCATATGCTAATGTCATCCCTCTGCCTGCCTGAAGTGTATAAAATAAACCTCTGCTGAAGGCAGAGCAGGGAGACTTGCACCCAACTCCCATTCCCATGTCTTCCTCGCGCCCACTCCCCCCTTTTTTTTTTGGAAGGGGCTCAATATCAGTAGAACCCTTCTTTCCAGCACCTTCTTTAGACAGCAGTTAGGTGGCCAGTAGCTACAGTGGGAGTATTTACACCAAGCAAGTTGGTAAACGCTACTGCCCAGAGCTGTTTGTTTCTCCCCAGAAATCAGCTTGTTGAATATGCACCAACACATCCCTGCTGAGGGGGTGACAAGCAGGCTTCACGTGGGGTCAGTAGGTGGCATTTTCACTTGTATTTTTCTAATGACTAAAGATATTGAGCACTTTTTCATGTGCTTAATTTCAACCATTTGTTCATATTCTTGGCAAACGTTGTGTACATTTTTAAAGTGAGTGTTGGTCTTATCATTCAGTTGTAAGA